AATCAAGCTGAAGTTTTTATGGAAAATAACAGACTCGGGTTAGAAAGATGAGTACTTGGGTCTCTTTCTTTTTATGTGGGTTACCGAAAAATAAGTTAAACACAAAAATAAAATAATAAAATGTACCAAATATATAGGGCATGTGAATTTCTTTGGATGTTGGCCACAACTTTTTTTTTTAACAAATTATATTTACTTTTCGTCCCTGTTGTTTGACAATATGTCGATTTTGTATTAATGATATATAAATCATCCATTTCAATTTCAGTCGGACATAACTATTTCTTTGAAAACTAAAGTTACAAAAATGGTCCCTACAGTTTTTATGATTTGAAGTTTCCATTTTTCTAAATTGAAACATAAACTACGTCCCTGCTATTTTGAATTTGCTAGTTAATGTTATCGTTTGTATTATTTATTTATTTATGATAATTATTTTTGGTATTTATTTATTTATTTATTACTTTTAAGGGTAAAACATTTTAATTACGGAAATGACGCCGTAAAAATAGAAAGATGAAATGTTTTTACAAAGATTATTGCGAACGTTTTAATTAATGTAGTTGAATGGTTATTAATTGGCCGAATGAGACACATAGATAGTTGAACCTAAATGAACACGTAAGATATTTTCTAGGATGGTTGTCTTAGAAATTTTGTTGGTGGAATATAGGGTGCAGGGCAACAAAAAAAAGCTTCAGATAAGATTTGTCGGTTACGAGGTGAGTTTTTCGTGTTCTGTGGTTGCTCGCACATAAATGTTTGTCATGCGTTTATTATGTGGTTTTTATTTATTTATTGACAGTATGTTTTATGATAAGTATGGTTGTGTGCAAATGTTATTTTGGATTTGTTATCTACTGTGTGTGTATGTTTTTTTTGGGTGACATGTTTAGTGGGAACGGGTGGGTGTTTAATCGTCGTGAGCATGACGGATGTGTGTGATTGGCGGGGATGGGAATTGAGAATCATACTCATTTCCTTGGATATTTAAAATACTTGAGAACAATGGATGATGAGTTGTCTCAAGGAGAAGGGAAATGAACCTTTTGGTTCGTTCTCTGGATAATTAATCGTTCCCCTAAATTACGTAATCAAGTGATATGTTTGTTGTATTATTTATTGAAACTATATGATAAAACTATTTGTTTTGTTAAATGATGGACATGTATGTGCAATACGAACTCACTAGGCCCTAGGCTTACCCATTTAAAAACTTTAAATGTGCGCAACCCAGGAAACTATTTAGCAAGTGGCAGTAAGAAGGCAATGAGATGGATTTTACAACAAGACGATAAAGGAGTTCCGCAAAGACGTAACACCCGAAGTTCTTCAATTGAAGATTTTATTTTATTTTATTTTGCTTCCGTTGTAGTTTAGTCTATACGTAAGTTTAGAATTGATCATGAGAGATGTTGGAACGATTATTTGTCATTTAATCGATAGTTGAAAATCGGGGTGTTACAACCAATGGGTATGGTTTCAAATTTTCAAGTTTTGAATTTGAGATCCATGTACAAGATGGTATGTATTTTCAAATTTTTACTATGTGTAGATGAATCATGAAATAGCAATGTATTTTCAAATTTTTATAATTTAAACGAATGGTATATTTTCTATAATACTACTTTCTCAACTTTGATTTTTTTTTTGTTTTGGATTTTATATTACTATTATATGCAGTTAAAACAGTTTTAAATTTTTGTTTTTGTTGTGTGTGTTTATGTGTTACTGTGTGTTGATCCTGTTGATGTATGTGTGTTACTATGTGTTTTGGATTTTAAATTTGTATTATCCGGTTAAAAATGATTAAATTTAAAAACTTTGGATGCGTTACTATGTGCCACTTTCTGTATAAGTTTTATTTGTCCTTTTTAATAATTGCATTTCTTCAACTTCCAACATTTTACTTTGGCATTACAATATATAGTCTGTTAATTCAGATTCCTTCATTGTTGGATCTTTAGATGCTGAATCACAACACATGACACTTCAAAATGTACGTAAAATGTCACACAATATAACTCCTTCCACTTTGGAAAAATCAACATCTACAATTCCTCTGAAAATATTGTCTACTCCAAAAGATTTAAAATGAAATCTTGATGAAGTCTTTGATGTGGACAACAACGACAAAATCGTCATCAACAAAATGTCCACGTCTTTCTTCGGGAAATAAAGAAGAGGCAAAACTTATGATCCTGAGACATGAAAAGTAATGGTTATAATTTTTAAGTACTCAATTTGAATTTGCTTTCGTTATAATTTGCACTAGGAATAATCTCGTAATAAGACATTTTTTTTTTTTTTTGTTTCTAATAATTCATGGAGCTACTGTAAGTTTTTTCATCAATATTTATATGTGTGAATTGAATTGAAGGGTTGTTTATTGATCTACTTAATGGTTATTCACTTATTTGCATATGTTGATTATCGATTGTAGTGAATTTCTTGATTAATGGTGTACGGGATTATGTTAAATTTTAAGGCATTATTGTGTATTTCGGTCAAGGTTTAAAAGAACATAATCGAGCCTCGTTTTCTCTTCGCCTCATGAGACGTAAACCCGAAGTGGAATTAAAAAATAAATATAAAAATTATATATCTCCTAAAAAAATACTAAACACATTAATCGAATCTACAATATTATATAATTGAATCTACAAGGGCTCCAAACATATATTTTTACAAATCATGGTTCGATGCTCTCAATCTATGTCGGAATGTGTCGGAATCAAGAAATTCGAGATTCAAACATCTGGTAGATTCAATTGAATTTCTGGAACAACAATTTCATCATTTGAAGAAGAATTACCATGTGCGATGTTAAGAAGAACACGTGTGATGCGAAGAAGACTAGGTGCGATTGGAAAAGGAATAAGTCAAAAAAAGTCAAAATTAGGCTAAAAAACAAAGCATATGCAATGCATCTCCTATACGAGCCGCTTGTATAATTGAAACTATAATAGTATTTTTAGCATTTAACATGGACATTTTAATTGTGCATAAATATATGGAAAATGATTCTCACAAAAATGGGAATGTGTATTATATAATGTAAGGATACTTTATAATTTTAACTTTAACTTAACATAAATCAAATATTCGTTGATATATACATACATCTTCTTATATTAATAAATGAAAAATCTTTTTTACCATATGTCTCACTTGATTCATTTTTTGGTTATTTTTAATTAAACTTTTTGTACATAACATTTTATGGTTTTTTGTTTTTTTTTTTTTTTGTTTAATGTTTATGTAATCTTTCAATTTCAAAAACTCAATAATTGACTCACTTTTTTATAAATTCAATAATTAACTTATTTTCCTTAAAAATTCAAAATTCCCAATTTCAAATAAGTCTTTAAATATGTATGACTCATGACAATTCTTTAAAATATACCAATAGTTTTTTTATTTGTATAGATTGAAATACTTATTCATCATGCTTAAATTTACACCTTCATATATATATATTTTTTTTAATCAACCCATACATACACAATTCTCACAACTAATTTATAAATAATAATATAATGTAACAAAATAATTTAATAAAACAAAATTCTGAATTCCATCTTCTTAAATTTCTAGTGTGGCCCACGTATATGACATGAAATAATGTGAGTGGGAGAGGAAGTGAGGTCCACATAAAAGCCTAAACTTGCAACATATCATCAACCAAACACAATGGTTATTACATCATTACACAATCACATATAAAGATTTCTTGTTCTACTTTACAAACATCATACAACTGTTCTTCCTAGTAGTTTAATTAAACAACACCAATTTACCCGTTTGATGGTAAAAATGATTTACACGAGTTAATAATTAACGTTAAAAGTTAAAAAAAAATCACCCTCCATTGATCATAATTGATCGAAATGGAACTCTTTCAATGTCCACAAAAGTTGAAAACTCATTTTGCAATGGTTGTTTCCATGGCTCTCCATCCATTTGCATAAAACCTCGTTTCCATGCTCCACCTCTTAACTCAAATCGAATTGCAGCAGCCTAAGGAACAACAAAAAGTTTCACTCATTTTTAAAAAGATATCCATTTTTTAATTTTTATTTCATTTGTGCACAAAAATGAACATTTTTCTTTCGGACAAAATACAGAAAAACACAACTTTCATTATTTTATCGATTTGGTCATTTAACTATATTCTGTACTGATTAAACAATTACACAACTTTAGAAATCGTCCTTTCTTAGTTTCATAGTTCCATCATTTATCAATTTAATGACTGATATTATTTATTATGATTGTTATAATGATATTTTAATTGCTAAATCGGTAAAAATAATAGTTTAATGGGTAAATCGTAAAATTGTGAAAGTAAGTTATGTTTTTCTGTATTGATATCAAAACATCAAAACCGATAATCGGTAAATATCTTTTTTTTTCTTTTTTTGTATTTTTGACCTTTTTTGTATTTTTGCCCTTTACTTTTACCTTTTTAGCATACATATGTCATGTGTTGTTTTTCATTTGGCCACTTGATATTTTCTATAGCGATTTAATAAATATATTATTTGACTTTTTAAAAACCCATATTTCCCGGTTTTTGAAATTTAAAAAAAGAAAAAAAAATCACAACATACTTTCATGGTTGCACCATTAATCCATTTAATCATAGAAGTACTTTTTTATGATTTATTATAATACTAATTTGGTGACTAAATGAATAAAAACAATAGTTTAGTTACTAAATCGTAAAATTATAAAAATATATTTTGTTTTTTCTGTACTTTGTCCTAATATCAAAATATCAAAACCAGGTAACTCCGAAAACTCTTTTTTTAAAGGTCTTAATCGCTATATAAAATAAAAGTGATAAAACCAACAAAACGGTGAAAGTAAAAAGTAACTTTTTGTATTTTTTTTCCCTTTTTTACCCTTTTGGCATATACCTGTGCGATGTGTTTAGCTGAAATAAGCTCGACCATTACAAACGACGCATGCCATCCTTGTTTAAACCCAAAAACTTCTAAAAGTCCATCATCTGCATTAGCTTCAACAAAACCTTTCTGAAACCAATTGAAAAACCAAAATTACTCATTTGCCCTTCATCATCATTACAATCATAATGAAAATATCGATTAGGATCCACAACGTTCTTCAATTGAAAGGATATCTAAGGTATTTCACAAATAATCAAACGTCGATTACCTTTTCCATATATTCGGGCTTCAATTTCCCCCATGGATTTCTTCCACTCGCATAGCTATGAAGATTCAACGCCACAATAGATCTTACACTGGAATATAAAATTATTAATTAACTTTAGAAAATAAAATTGTGAATTGTGAATTAAATAATTAATTAAATCGCTTACGTTGATGGGATAGGAACAACTTCCCAATCGGAGCTATTGAGTCGTTTAACATGTAGCCTCAATATGTTCTTTAGTCCTCTGTTTTTTCCAATAAAAATAGATTTTAATTTAATTTAATTAATCGAAATTTTTTATTAAAATAGTATCGAATCATGAAGAAAACGTGAATAATGTGACAAAATTCTTACCTCAAACCTGGATCAGCCATACAAGGCGTAAAAAACCACCCTTGTTTGCAACTATATCCAGAGTAGATTAACTATAACAACATAAAACAAATAACAAATAACAAAAATCATAAATAATAATTTGAATTATATATTGTTTAGGGGTATTTTTGTCAAAGAAACGAAATAAGGTTTTGACCTTGTTTGAAATAGGACCTTGTGCAAGGTAAGGTTTATCATTCCTTAAATGATGGAAACCATAAGCCACTTGTGCATCCATTCCTATATAAAGAAATTAATAATATAAAATTGTAAATCGAATTAATATATGTCAATACACAAATTATAAAATAATAATAATAAATAAATAAGTAAATAATTATACCTATGCTGAAATAATTGTAGAACACTCCTTGGTAGCATGAAATTTTTTCGGGCAACTTTCCTTCGATTTCTAAACCCTGAAAAGAAGCTTATATAAGTTTGATTGTTACTTCGATTTCTATAACAATTTCTTATATTTGAATTTGAGAATATATATATATATATATA